TAACTGTACCAGGCTCTACAGCAGCAGTCATTTCCATTGCACTGACAGTGCCTTCTCGTTCGTCGGCACTGCTTATATAGTCAGTACTACCAGCATATCAAAGATCTTTGCCATCGGTGCCGATTACTCCATCAGCACCATATAAACCTACATTACAAACACCAGCACTGATCTTCATGGCAGAGTTGCTGTACATGCAGAGTGCAGACTTAGCAGTCACATCTGCCGTGCAGTCACCAGTCTTTGGCACTGATGCTTTGCCAGTACCGATGATTTCACAAGCTTTATCTCTCGTACCGTCGCAATTCTCCAGCGACGATGATGGAGAGGTACAAGGCTCTTTCTCTCTGCATCGCAGCCCTCTGATGCAATATTACAAGCCCCAAAACAACCCCAGGGTGATCCCTCCCTTGGTATGGGCAGCACTGATTGCCTCCTCCGGTACCATATCCGGTGCAATGGCCTTATTGGAGTCCTTGAGACTCATACAAGAGACATCACAAACATGCTGCTTCTCTTACACCTAGAACACCTAGAACATCCGCATCTGTGCAACAATCGGAGGTGCCTCAAGCAACAAAGGAGTCACTCCTGATTCTTCACCAACTCCTCTTTGTCACCAGACGAAGTTATTATGCCACCACTGCTGTCAGCCACGGATGACTTCGAACACTTTAACTATCTTTTTAAGAGAGTTGTGGCTGAAATTAAAATTGCCACAGAGGAGGTGGCCCAACGCCAGCACAAGCTCACTGATGTACTCCAGGCTGCTCCATCCTACGAGATTGCCCTACCCATCAACCCTGTCATTTTAGAACTGGCTAACACAGTTTGGCATGTGCTAGCGGGCAGACAAAAAAAATTACATACCTGCAAAATCTGCAACTTCATTTAGTATGAGCCAAAACTTGTTTAATCGATATTATACAAGTAAAAACCAGATGGATATAAATAAATTAAAGATCAAATACATGTATACAGGGGTTCAAAGACCAAATAAATATTTTATCACTTGTATATAAAACAATTGTGTAATGTATATCTGATGCAAATCTTGGACAGAAACGAAAATTTTCCTTTTTTTCTGAATTTCAATATTATTGATGATTTTGAGAGATTTTTTCCATTTCCATAGTTTCCCTTCATGCCTTCCCTTCATTCAACCATTGTTATAGGGCAAGTTAATTCTCACTATTTCATGCATTACTCAAGACTCTTCTGTGGAGGCACTCCTTGATTATCAATTAAAATGCAGAGAGTGAGTTGCAGTGAATTGATCAGTACTAACAATATAAAAATTAAGCTACTGCATAAATATAATACCAGTTGCTGCAAACAATGCATTTGCATTGAACAGAATTGTATATATCACTTAATGATATGCATTCCTCTTTTAGTTTGTTTTTCTTATTATGCTATTATATCACGACAATTTATGCTGCATTATTAATACAGTAGTTTTAATATAAGAAATGTACTGCTTTCATTGGTTTGGTTTTATCCAGTACAAGATACAAAATGCAGATTAGTGAAACCAGTCTGAAAAATTCATAGACCTGTAGGGATACCTGCCTAATCAAGAAATATAGGCTTTATTTTAACCATCTTACTGTTCCTGTACCATCTATTGAAGATTCAAAAGGAAAGAGATTTTTATAATACTTAATTTGTAGAAAATGTTGGTAATGAGGCTGCTAATCTTAGTGTTCTGGGTTTTCATTTAATGCCGTTAACTGTGCTGAAAGTTGTATAGCTGGTATCAGTGGCTTACAGAGACACAATACTGCAGAAAACTTACTATCGTTATGAAGAGATTCTAAGAATGAGACAAAATAGAAAGCAGATTTTGATAGCCTTTGAAGTTTTGGGACATTTAGTCTGAGTACTTGAATTTTAATCTACCTCATAAATTTTGATTCTGTGTTGGAGCTGAAACTTTACACCAACATTCCACACGATAATAGTGTTCCTAACAACTAGTAATCTATCTCCCATGGTGCCATTACACACCTGGTGACTGAACTATGTGACTTTGTCCTCACCCACAACTATTTCCAATTTGGGGACAATTTATACCTTCAGGTCAGTAGCACTGCTTTGGGCACCCGCATAGCCCCACAATATGCCAACATCTTGACCTTGAATGTTTCCTCAGTTCCCGTCCCCTAGCATACTTCCTCTACTTTTGCTACATTGATGACATCTTCATCATATGGACCCACGGGAAGGAGACCTTTGAAGAATTCCACAGGGATTTCAACAATTTCCATTTTACCATCAACGTTAGCCTGGACCAGTCCACAGAAGAGATCCACTTCCTTGACACTCCAGTACAATTAAATGATGGCCACATTTTCACCACCTTATACTGGAAACCTACCAACCATTATTTTTACCTATATGGCTCGAGCTTCCATCTAGGACACATCACCCAATCAATTGTTTACAGCCAGTCCCTAAAATACAACTGGATTTGCTCTAATCCCACAGGCAGAGACAAACATCTACAGGATGTCTTTCAGGGATTCTTAAAACTTAAATACTCACTCAAGGGAGTGAAAAAAACAGATTGACAGAACCAGATAAGAAATGTTTATTTGGCTTTTGCAAAAGCACATTTGAGTGGAGAAAAAGGGGGCCTAGAATTATAAGAGAAAAAGAAGGGAGAAGGGGGGGAAAAAGTGCCAGTGTTAATCTGTCAATCTAGTGCTTGTGCTAATGAGGCTTATTGAGTGGGCTGGAAGTGTCCCATACTTAGCTTTTGATGTCAGTGACGTGTTACATGTAAAAGAAGCTGTTTTTATAATGGCCACCCAGTTAATATCTTTATTTAGGCCCAAGGAAACAGTATCAAATTGGAATATAAAGGTGAATTCTGCAGTGTGTCTCTCTCTCAATTGCCTTGTGAAATTCTTTGGTAGAACAATGGCTACTTTTAAATCCACAATAGAGTGCCCAGGCAGGGTAAAAAGTTCCCCTACAGGTTCATGTGTGTTACCATTTCTGATATCTGACTTATGTCCATTTCTCCTTCATGGTACAGACTGTTCTGTTTGGCCAATATACATGGCAGAGGGCCATTGCTAGCACTTGCTGGCATGTATCACATTAGAGGCTGTGGAGTTGTATGAGCTCCTGGAAAGAATTTGCTTCAGTTTAGAGGGTTGTCTGTAGGCAAGGATTGGCCTGTCTCCCAAGGCTTGTGAGATTGAGGGACTATTTTCCAAGATAGGTTGTAGATGGAGGGGCTGTAGGTGATGACCAGTGGTATTCTTTTGTTTTCCTTGTTGGGCCTGTCTTGAAAAAGAAGATTCCTGGGTATTTGTCTATCTCTGTCAACCTGTTCCTTCACTTCACCAGATAGCTATTTAAGGTTTTGTAGGTTTTTGTCTCTGGGATTGGAGCAAATCTGGTTGTGTCTTAGGGCCTGGCTGTAAACAACTGTGATGCTTCCTGGATGTGAGCCAGAGGCATGAAGGTAAGAGTAGCAGTCAGTAGGTTTCTGGTATAGGGTGGTGTTAATGTGGCCATCATTGAATTGTATTGTAGTGTTAAGGAGGTGGCTCTACTGTGTGGACTGGTCCAGGCTAAGGTTGACAGTGGAGTGGAAGTTGTTGAAATCCCTTTGGAATAATTCTCCTTCCCATGGATCCATATGATGATGTCCTCGATGAAGCAAAAATAAAGGAAGGGTGCTAGAGGATGAGAGCTGAGGAAATGTTCAAGGTCAGACATAAAAATGTTGGCATATTGTGGTGTCATGCAGGTGCCCATAGCAGTGCCACTGACTTGAAGGCATAAGTTGTCCCCAAATTGGAAATAGTTGTGGGTGAGAACAAAGTCGCACAGCTCAGCCACCAGGTTTGCTGTGGCATCAGTGGGAATAGTGTTCCTGATAACATATAGTCGATCATAATGTGGAATGTCTGAGTAAAGAGCTTCTAAATCCACTGTGGCCAGGATGAGATTTTCAGGAACATTACTGGTGCTCTGTAGTTTCTTCAGAAAGTCAATTGTGTATCGAAGCTACCTAGGAGTGCTAGTAGCATGGGATCTGAGGAAACCGTCAACATAACTGGATAATCCTGCTGTAAGAATGCTGATGCCTGAGATGATGGGACTTTTGGGATTTCCAGGTTAATGGATCTTGGAAGATAGAATACTCCTGATTGGGGATTTAAGGGTGTGTTTGTATAGGTCTGATCTCAAGTTCTAGCAGGGAGTTCCATGAGCAGACAGTATAGTTTCTTCTGGTATTCCTGAGTAGGGATGTTGAGTGATGTTTAATCAGCTAATAGACTAGTCGATGGAATTTCCATCAACTAGTTGATTAGTTAAGGAGTGGAAACTGTTCTACTGCAGCTTTGTTAGCTCCCAGCCCCGGGAGCTAACCCTGTTGCAGCTCTGCCTCTTAAATGTATTCAGAGCCATTAGGTTCTTAATACATTTAAAAGGCTGAAGTGCAGCAGGGGGAATCAGGTGCAAGCCAGGATAGTGCAAGCCAGGACAGCTGATTCCTGGCTCATGCCCAGACCCCCACTACACCTCTGCATCTCATGCTCCCCCATGGAGATGGTGCTGGGGGGGAACTGGCTTTTAAGCCAGCTCCCACCAGTTCCTGCTCTCCGCCCCCCCCCCCTTGCTGCTTTTCTAGTCAACTATCTGATAAGCATAAGCTTATCGGATAGTTGACTAGTCGAGTGGTTGCTTATATCCCTAATGGGAACATTAATTAATATTCAAGGATTTTATTTTCCTGTGATGGATTCTTTGTAAGTTGCCAATGTGCCTTGCTGATGGGCACTTCTATAAATCTCAGTACTTGGTACTGATAACAGAAGTAGTTTTAAAATCTAAAGCTTGGGCATAAATCTAAATTATCCATGATTCAGTCAACTGGATGAGGAAGTTCAGATAGTAGGAATAATAAGTAAATGTTTCAGACTGGAAAGATCTACTTTTATTCCTCTTATAGATTCTATCCTTATCCTTCCATTTAGGGTCAGCTTTATCTGCTGGTGACAGACCAGGGTTTTCTTACAGAAGAGAAAGTTGTCTGGGAAAGTTTACACAATGTAGATGGTGATGGAAATTTCTGTGACTCTGAGTTCCACCTTCGGCCTCCATCAGACCCAGAAACTGTATATAGAGGGCAGCAGGATCAAATCGATCAGGTAAATCTATTGCATTTCTTCAGCTTTTGCAGGGTGGGATTTCCCAGTGTGCTCCTGTTGAAGTCAGTGGAAGTTTTACTATTGGCTTCAATGAGAATAGAGTAAGACTGACACTGTTTTTTAATTTTCCTCTTTAAGAAAAATGAATCCATTTTCCAAAGATTCTACACATGGGTATTTCTTAGCACATTGTGTTTAGTTACCACAAGCCAGACTTGACGTGTTATGGTGTTAATAAAGTATATTAAAAGCATAAAAACAAATCATACTATGGAATTTTCTCCTCTTCGAGTTTGTCCATGTGCACATTCCATTCAGTGTGCCTTGAGCTCGTGATTGGAGACTTTTTGGCCAGTGGTATCCATATATGCGCACCCTGTCAGCCCTCATGCTCTGCATATAAGCTTATTGGCCACCACTTAGTTCTCTGCCTTTCGTCTTAGAAATGGAGCCCTAGTTGGTTGAGAGGTTGCCAACCATTCTCTACTAGTTTAGTTCTAGCTCTGATTTTCTCAGTTTAAAGTCATCATTTAGTCCATTAGTAGATATAGTTATCTGATTATTGCTATTGTTAGTTTTCTAAGAATTAACCATCAACAGTATGGAATAATTTGGTTCTCCTGGAGTAAAATGATGCATCTTGTGAGGGAGCTGTCACAGGCACAGATGGACGTTCAGAAGTGCCTTGATTGCTGAACGAATCATACATTTCAAGCAAATGGACAGATTGTAAGCCTTTTAGTTATAAGGCCAGGGAAGATGGGAGGGGCTGATTTTCAGATCATCTTCATGACTTCAGAGCTCCAAAGTGTAGCCCAAAAGTACAGCCTCAGAGAGCCCTGACAAAGACTGCCAAATGCCTAGGCCATGAGGTCTACATCCTCAGACAGCCCACAAGGCTCCAGAAGTCTGAGACATAGAAATACCTATCATAGCTTTGTCTAAAAGAAAACCTGCCCATAGCACCACCATCTGCTGAAATTTCTTGGCCCAGAATGATTCCTGCTAAAGCTTAGTGTTGCGCCATTTCTGACTGGATGGCACCAACACACCAATACAGAAAACTGGGCATTCACAAAATAACTTGTTTAATATACTGTCTACCACATTCACTATAGGTGTGCTGTGAAATGGCCCCAGAACTGATGTTCCTGGAAGCAGGTCTGAGATGTCCTATGCCAGTGGTTCCCAAACTTTTGATGGACCAACAACATTTTATTTGCATATTCAGTATGTAAATAATGAATGTTGCCAGTCCACCCAAGGTTTGTGAATGGGTTTGCCAGTCCACAGTATTAAAAAGCCCCGATCCCAGAGCCCCCCAGTGCCAGCCCTAACTCCTAGAGTCACCTGCCCCTGCAGTATCCCCAGTCGCTGACCCCAGAGACCCTGCACCCAACCCCCTCTTGTGCCAGTATCCCTCCCTCAGAACCCTCCAGTGATATTCCCCCATCCCAAATGCCTCAGTCCCAGGCCCCAATATTAGTCCTGTCCCCAGTTCACCTCAGTGCCAGCCCTGCTCCCATAGCCCCCACACTGCTATCCCCACTCCCCAAACTCCCCCAATGCCAGCTCCCCACCCCAGATGCTCTAGTGCTCCCTAGCGTCATCCCTCCGCCTCTTAGAGCTCCCCAGTACTAGCCCTTTCCCCAGAGCCTCCCATATTAGCTTTGCCCCCAGTGCTAGCCCCTGCCTCTGGATCAGGCCCACAGGCCACCCAATGACTCTTCCTGGTTTTGCTTCAACTACAGAGGAAAGAGGAAATCATGGAAGAACAGGAACCAGAGGCTACTCTGTCAGCTCTGATGATCCAGTTGTCTTTTTGACTCCTGATAAGTCTATATGGCCTCACAATTGGACCATTTTAAGGACTTCCTATATATAATAAAAGATATCAGAGGCCCTTCAAATCTCAGCTGAGGAGTTCAGAAGCAGACTCAAAAGTCAGTGGACATTTACCATGTGTCTGACAGGAAAAAGGGCCCTCTTTGTCAACAAAACTATCGTGGACACAGCCAAAATTGTGTGACCGAGTTAGATAGAAAATATCAGGTGCTTCCCAAGAGTGCACAATTCTTTTAAAACATTTTTCCTTTGTAGACACAGTTCTGAAGGAAAGAGCAAAACTGCTCACATCTGCACCAAAAGAAAAACTAACCAGATAGATTAAATAAATTTATATAGAAAGCTTACTCTTTTGCAAGCCTGTAGTTCTATATGTATATAATTACTAGGCCATATTATCCAATTATGGTTTGACATGATAGACTGTATGCCTTTGCAGATCAACTGTCAAATGAGACTCTCAAAGAATTTGTGTCATTAGTCAAGTAGGGCCAGCAAATGGCCAATGCACGTCTGAGTTTCATGGGATATATTGGAAACAGCTGCCAGATTCATGGTGGTGGTTGTTACGCAACAGGCATTATGGCTGTAGAGTGCAAGCCACTTCTGTGGCATCACTGCAAAATTTTCCCATATTGGTCACCTGTAAAGCATCTATTTGGGTATCAGTGAACATCATCAAGCACTACATCTTAACTGAGTCTTCCAGATCTGATGCTGAATTTGATAAAGCAGTTGGTAAACAGAGTTCTCTGAGAGATGTTGTCCATATGCACATTCCACATTTTGTCCTTCTTTTTCCACTACCTTGGAGTCAGTCCCCTTTGCGGATTATGCAGTGAGAAGGAATTGAATGGTGACTGACATGCTTTGCTTTTAAATGCCCTCTGCAAAGCACAAGGAGTGGGAGGATCCATGGATGCCATAAGGATTGTGGGGGCCAAAAATTCTTCATTCTCAAACTCTGTGTTCATGCACACTCTGAACGGAATGTGCATATGATCAACACCTCTTGAAGAACTCCATTTACTGTACATAGTAACTTACCATGACTAATAAATTACTGGAGTTTCAAGGGATAGCCGAGTTAGTCTGTTACAGGAAAAAAACAACAAATGGTCTGGTAGCACTTTATAGACTAACAAAACATGTAGATGGTATCATGACCTTTCATGGGCACAAAAGCTCATGATGCCATCTACATGTTTTGTTAGTCTATAAAGTGCTACCAGAACATTTGTAATAAATTACTGTCATCCTATTAGTAGACACTTAGTATCTTATCCTAGTTTGAGAGCTACAGTATCTAACCAACTTAAGATTTGTTCTGTAAGGACTTAAATTACCAACAGTATGCAGAATTTACATTAAAAATGTGGGCTATCCTGCCTGTAATGATTCATACATTTGAGAAGAGTAGTACAATACATAATAGTGTTCTAATATACAGTATATTATGCTTAAAATAGGCATAGACAGATGTTATTAATAAATGTAAGTATGTCAGTCAAAATCTGAGATTTTAAGATGATTTTTCTTCCCCATGTGCCAAGGTTTTGATTACAGTTTCTGATAAGAGAAATCAAGACTTAATTTTATTCTCTGCAATTGCATGAGTTAAAATTTAGAAACATGAGAAAAATTTAGGGCGTGCCATCTGTGCTACTGCCCTGTCAGGTCTGAGCAAAGACCAGCCTAAATAGATGTCTGTAATTGAGTTGATTATCTGAAATTGTTATCAGATTTAATTTGTTTGGAGTTGTTGCAAAAAAATAAAGCTATGGTATATCAAAATTAAATATTGAAAAGCTGGCACATCTATTTTTCTACTAGGGTGAAATGCTACATTGTGGGGAAAACAAGCCTGAGAACCAACTTGGAATAATTCAGTACTGGAATAATTTAATACTTTAGTACCGTGGTCCCCAACACGGTGCCCGTGGGTGCCATGGCGCCCGCGGGGGCATTTGCATGCGCCCGCCAGGTGCTCGGGGCTGGCCTGGCCCCGGGCACATGGCGCGGCGCTTGCGGGGAGCATCGGCCCCGGGCACGCGGCGCTTGCGGGGAGGGGAGGAGGAGGGTGGGAAGCACCGGCCAATCTAGATGCCCTTTTCCGCAAATGCTTTTAACAGAAAACTTTTCCGTTAAAAGCATTTGCGGAAAATCATGCCAGTCTAGATTTCCCTAAAAGTATCTGTAATTAGAGAACCTGAAAACTTGGTGGGAAGTTGTTCTCTGATGAAAAGTTTGCCTATTGCATTTGGCAGGAATGTACACCTAGGATTCATCAGTCACAGTACCATCTTTGAATAAGAAAGAAGAGTCCACAGGCATGTGGCTATGGGGGGCCCCGCCCCCGGGCATGCGGCTATGGGGGGGGCGCCCCCGGGCGCGCAAGTGTCCCCACCCCCTGGCGCCCGGCGGGCGAACGGCCACGCCCCCTGGCGCCCGACAACCTCAAAAGGTTGGGGACCACTGCTTTAGTACAACCCCAGAAACTCAATGCATCGGTTTCCTCACTATGATTTTATGTTTCAAAGCAGTCATAACGCCAGTAGTGCTGTGCACTTCAGGATTGTCCTTTTGGTGCGGGGAGTCTAGCATAGCATAGTGTAGATGTAGTACAGTTGCCTTTCATGGCTAGCTCCCAGCACAAGGGGTATTTTTGGGAAAGAGAAGTCATTGGGGCATCTTCACTCACTGGAAATCCCTGGTTGCCATGGCCCCTTGATATTATGGACAACTGAACAAAAGCTAGCTATATATCTCTATGAACACTTAGTTCTTCACAAGCTAGGATGGAAATCTAACTCTCGCAAGCCTGCTGTGCACTATCTGTGTTGAACCTACTGCCACATACTAAAAGTTCTGTGGGGCATGTCTATACTACAAGGTAATGTCGAATCTACTACGGTCAATTTCTGGGCACCCAGTTTTGAGAAGTAGAAGGTCTGTATCTTCATTAGGGGAAGAATCGAATGGTGTCCTAAGTAGCACATCCCCATTAGGGAGTCTGCCATCAACTCAGATAGCGAGGCACCCTGGGTAGCTTTGTAGTCTGGGCTATGCTTTCGGTGCCTGCTGGGTCCAAAACTCAGCAGCAGGTGGTTAGAGGGGCTCATGTCGGTTGCATCCCATAAGGCACTCCTTTAGTC